GCCGCCAATTATATTTACGAAGACGGACGCACGACCACTCGAAGCGAGCCCATCGGCAGAGGCGGCGCGGCGGGCGAAAGAACAGTTAGCATCCCACTGCAAGCCGCGTCTGCCCGGAATCGCGTCGTGCATTTGGCTCGTGAACGGGAACGAGGTCGAAGTTTCCGGCAGCTCGGCGCCCACGGGGCGATTGTTTGCACGGGGGCTATCTTCGCGTGTGCGGCGAACAAAAGCGTGACCGGCTCTGGCGAAAAGCATAGAACCCGGGGCTCGCCGAGGCGCCGCCGACGCCCCGAGGAAAATAGAACGGCCGCGGTCGGATACAGTGTCACCAACATACGAAAACCTGGCCACCTCCGTGAACGGTAGGCTCTCTTGGAGAGAGAGATTCGCCTCGCTCATGCCTTTCGAAGCGCAACGTCCAAAGATTGATTATTTGATTTCCTGGTGCGTCTATTCCTGTGGTCTGTTGTCTCGTAAGTTTAGTGCATGCAATACCTGGAAGGTGGTGGCGGTAGTGATAATGGCGTACCTCCGCCGCTGGAATGTCATATTCGGCGACGACTTATACGCACGCTTGCAGTTTCCCTCCTGCAGTTCTGTATGCCGGCGGGCAGATAGAGCTCTATGTACGCGCATGCATGTGCATGTGTGTGCATGCCTACTCGTAATAGAGGGAATAGCGAGGACGAAGGAAAAATCATTGCGGTCCGTGACCCGTTAGTTTAGAAACTGCTCCGGCATTCTCTGTTATCGAGTAAGGATTCGACATCGATGTGGATGTTTTCGAAACATGCTGAAACATGTTTAAAACATCAATGTATTATGTGAGAGGGCCAGCACTGCAAGCATTCCCACTGGCCAAATTACGATGACCCGCTGCTAACCAGCCGTTAATTATGACTTGCGGGCTCCACGGCTAATTGAAACTGCTCGCTAAACCAGAGAGGGCCAGACAGATGTAAAATTTAACGAAAGTCCTGCGTGAGATCTGTGAATTTTTTTGTGTGTCTTTACATCGTATGCATAACAAATATGATAAAATTAAGTGTCAATGTATCAAAGAAAAAGTTAGGAAAATGGCGAAATTATTACAAAAATGAAGAAAGAGAGAAAAGTAATGTAGGGACACAAATAAATGGATCAGATAAATTAGAATAAATTATATTTACGATAAAAATATTTCACTCCCATACCTCTAACCATAGGTTTCAGAGACCTAAATAATAATAATAATAATAATAATAATAATAATAATAATAATAATAATAATAATAATAATAATACGTAATACAATAACCCAATACAACAAATGAAATTCTTGGCGAACTGCGGCGGCAGTGTGTTCCTACCTACATCCCCATAATGTTTGTGACAGTTTTAGTCGACCAAATGACAGTCGAGAGGTTGTTAGACTGTGGGAATTTAACGTTAGCAACACACACTGTGTCACATTTAGGAACTCGGTTCATTAACACATGCTTAGAACGAACACTCTGTACAAAACCTGAACACTTCACACAATACAGGTCATGTGGTTGTACTCTAATGTGTATCATATCGGTTTTCGATAGTTCTTCAAAAACCCATTCCAGAATCCTTCATTACATTGAGGCTTCACGATTATTTTCTTGCAACGGCGAGGATACCGTTACATGGAAGTAACACATTTCCTACTACTTGAATATTCCTAATACTGTAAAATAAGCATAGTAAATCCCATGTTATATCATAAGCCCGTCCGGAAAGTACGGTGAAGTCGCTGAATGCGTGAAGCCAGATTAATAAACCCAATATTTCCCCCTCAGACGAAACGTCCTCGTTGAAGGTAGACGATTACATCGATCTGAATCCTCCGCTTTCATGAAAGAAATATTGCTCTAGATACAAGTTTCCGCTCATTACCGACCATTATTGCCGTCAGAATCAGTATCATTTCCTTTTATTCCGATTTGCTCGAAGCGTTATGAGACCTAACTATCTAGTTAAGTTTCGAGACGATTCTAATAGAAAGGCAGTGACCCTCAAACTAAAAATCGAATGTGTGAAGCAATGGATCGAGAAGTGTGCTAAAATGTCAAATATGTATTAATATGGTAGAAAACATTTATTAAATTAAATCGACCTACAATCCGTGAACTTCATAACTGGATTGGCTAAAAATGTATCGTATATCAATTATATAACTTAATTTCCAAGCCACATATCACATGTAATTGGGAGGCCAAAGGCGTTTTGAGATTTTGAATTCGAAGTGATTTTCGAAACTATTGATTCTCGACATATGAGGTAAATGCAATATCATTAAAAAGTTACATTTGTAGTTCCGGCAAATTAACATTTAAGGAATATCAATCCGAATGCACCTCAATTCATCATTACAGAATGGAATTACAATAAAATATCAATGCTAATGTGTTAAAAATGCCACGAACATATCATGCAAATTGTACAGTCCTTAACGACACATCGAGTAGGCAAAGTAAAAGTACGTGTTCAGAGTGTCAGACAAACTACTACGCGAAGATTACTGAAGGTCTAACACGAACTTTAAACTATTACGGTGCCATCAGAAAGACAAGTAAAACTTGAGACGTAAAAGCGCTCACAGTCACGCAATTCAAGCGATCTTACACCACCAGCGAATTACCACAGAAAATCTACAGAAGATTCGCATGCAAACAAGTTCTCAAGTACAGATCTGAGAAAGTTTTCCATTATCCCAGCGTTGATCACACGATATTTTGTTGCATTACCTTCTTCTCCTTTATGTTACTGCAATCTTTCTCTATTACGCTCTTCGAAAGTCGAGAACGTTGATAAGTCTTGCCTTTTAAGAAATAATGAAAACATTGAAGTATGAAGTATGATAATGTGATCCAAGACGTATTCAATGTTTCACTTGCGTTTATTGCAATGTTTTTAAAACTTGTTTAACAAAACGTATTCCCTGTATTGCAAAATGTCTTCTTTCTTTTTCATTTATTATGAAATCAACACAGAAGTGCAATTGTAAACTCTCACTGTTCGTTCCCGAACTGCAGAGCATGTTTCCATAGGACGTGTCTCCATTTCCGTGTGTTTTCTAGTTTTACATATCAATCGAATAATCTGCTTGTGACAGTTCGTCACTCACGGTTTGACACTTTCCCGTCAACAATTGAGACAAATGATGTGTCATTTGACACGGTCCGTCTCCTAGTACGGGACTGATGATTTGTTTGCGGATTTATCCAGAACATTCGAAGACGGTTCTTCAAAAACTTTTGCTTTTGCTTTTTTTTAGACAACTAAAACGCGATTTGTGTGACGAACGGCACCTACAGACGTGATCACTTATCCATTCGATTCTTTTCGGCAAGACAAATCTACTGGCACAATTGTGACCAGGTTTTTGTTGGATTTTTAGTGCACAGAATTGTGCGAGTCTCTCCCGTCATTAAAAGCTTATAAAGTACGTTGTCAGGGGAGACAAGTAAGAGTTGTTTGACACATGAAGGAAATCATACATGTTAACAAAAAGACAATGAGTAAAATTGTGTGATTTCAGTAAAAGTAATAAATAAGATGCTAGAAGGATAATGAAGTATTCTTTTATTCGTCGACACCAAAAGGAAAGGCATCATCAGTAAAATACGTATAATAAATATTTATAATATTAGGATCTAATACAACTGCTAGTATATTGTTGAAATGTGAATTACTATACTCTCAATCCGATATTTACATGAATGGTAATGACTTAATCCTTCTGAATGGAAACAAGTAAACTTAATTCTGTAATGAAACCAAAATTTAATCATGTGTATTAATAGACACTTTTTCATGTAACTTTGAAAATGGACGTGAATAAAATCTATTTTTGTTATGGTCTTAAAAAGTACTTAATAAAACTAAAATAAAAATACCTGCAGGAGGCTCCATGTTAAACTAATATACTCCTAAGACACTTCTCAAATATGTCGCCGAATATTGTATTCATTAACTGCGTTTCTCTTATTTTTAAAAAAATATCATAAAACCGTTACTTTCTATCTGATACTAAAAGGCTGAATGTAAATACGATTTTCACTTCCTCAAAAATTATTTCATGGAGATGCGTCACTTTGGAAATCAACTAGATTTTCCACACTTTGTTTGCTGAAAACCCTAGTCTCACACCTCTTGATGTACTTCCAAATAGTTATGTCCTTACCCTCCTTCATTTTCGCCATATCTTTGCGATACGGAATGCGTTAAATGAAGAAATTAAGCAAAACTCTCCGAACGAGGTTTTTTTTTCAGCCTCAAAGTATTATCGAAACTATAGAGAAGAGAGAAGAAGAGACCATGCGTATCGAGCTTTAACACTCAGCATTAGACATAACAGTCTTATACCCCTCCTTTATTAGCATGACAATTACATCTAAATGCTGAGTGTTAAAAACCCGATCCACTTGTCTGTTTCATGCCTCCTGTATATTAACTTAGGATCAGCAGCCACATCAAGTATTATCTATACTTTTCATACTGTGGTATCCTTCTCATATTAACGATAACTCAAATCATTCTTAGGTTAAATAAGTCCATTATCTTAGAATCACGACATTTCGCGACGCAATTAGCAATGTTTCTTCCTTAAATAGAATAAAATTACAAATTTAAATATAGTTAATAAAGTGAGAATATTAAAAAGTATGATGAAACTAAAAAGTCTAGTGGTTGGAAATATTTTAAATTCTATAAGTACGAAGTACGTATAGAATTTGAGACAGACTTTTGTCATTGCACTACGCCTGACGATCCGGCCAATATGGCCCCGAAATGTCGTGATTCTAAGATAATAAAATTAATGTATCCTAAAAATGAGTTGTGTTGATTTTCGTTAATATGAAAAGGGAAGCATACTACGAAAAATACTAATAACAAGACAATCACTTTTTGTCTCGCATTATCGACCCTATTGTTCCGCTTCCATTGTTCGCCTGCCGCCCGCCTGCGGGGGTGGGGGGGTCGCTCACCTCGCCTGCCGCTGGTAGCCGACGGTCGCTGCCGCCTCGGGGCCCGACACCGCCATCGCCATCGCTGCGTCGGCCACTAGGGGCGTGGCCGCATCGACGTCTGACGGGGGCAGCTGCACGGGCCGCTGGCACTCGAAGAAGGACACCCGCACGCGCTTGGACCTGCAACGGAGACACACAACACCACATGGTTAGCAGGGGTTGGCTCATTCATCCACACATAGGCGTCTCCGGACACGTCACATTCTATGGTCATTACCTCATCCTGTTTGTGTAGAAAATGGTTCATCCTGGGGTTGGGATGGGGAGGTTCGGCGCGGATAACTAATAGACTTGCAGAGGATTCATTTTAACGTCCTCGCTCCCCCAGCAGGGCACGTTCCCGCTGGGACAAGCTGTAAGTTTCCCCACTAGTACGGTAGAGTATTTGCAGGTAAGAGCGTGCGCAAGGGGATAGGATAGGGCAAGGAAGAGAAAGAAAAGATCACGCAACGGCCGTGACCCGTTGGATAGGATACAGCTCCAGCTTTCGCCTGGAACTGATCGGAGAAACCACGGAAATTGGAAATCAAAGAAGCTGGCGGGAATCCAGACAGTAGCTGAATTCAGTCTGGTTACAGTTTAAAGTCTCCTACCGTCAGGACCGCGTGAAGTAGGTTTTTCGCATATATGAAGATTATTTATCGCCTTATGTAATTTTAAATTTATTTTTTCCCAATTTGTTTGATTAAATTGCCAATATCCATATTACGTCAAGTAAACGTACGGTTCCTGGCGCCGCGGCGAAGTGGGCCCTCGTCAGTAATTCGCCGCCCGGTGCGCCTCAAAAGTTTTTATCATCCGCAGGCGATGAACTGAAAGTGATGCTTTTACCACGTAATACTAACCTTTAAGAAAAATCATTTATCTCCTGAACAACATAATGAATTTTGGTCATGGAGATACGTGGATCATTAGGACAAATCCAAGCCAGAATTGCATTGACAGTCTGGACTACCTGAATCTGAACCTGATACATATAGAAAAGGCTTCAATTCCACATCGAAAGCCGATTCACACTAATTTCCTCCCGAAACACGATATTAATAATTAATCAGCAGATAATTAAATTCATAGACACGGTACTAAATTATTAAAATAAATTACGAAGTATGTTAGTAACATTATTGAGTATCTGCAGGATTGATATCCCAAAAAGGAAATCCTATTACCCCAAGCACACAAATGTCAGGCCGCTAACGTAGTCCTAGATTAACTATGAATAATCCAAAAGGTTATTACAATTTTATTGCGGTAACTATTAGAGAAAAACGTGATGACCTTAGAAAAAACGTTTCGATCGAATAAAAAAATGTAAGTTTAATGCAACCGGAAACAAAGTCACACCGAATTCTCTAAAATAATAATAATAATAATAATAATAATAATAATGAATCGCTGTTTAATTTAAGCGAAGACAAACATTGAAAATCGCAGTAACCGACGTAGGAAATGGCAAAAATCAGAAGGTGAGAATAAATCTTATACTAATCTGGTACGATGAAGCTGACCTCCTCCCACTACAAACACACTGAAGAGAATTAAGACTCATCAATGAACTAATAATTAGGACAAATTTTATTTTGCACTCATCCCATAAAAAGTAGCAGTATTTTATTCTTCTTTCGTGATAGGAAATCACATAATTTCACGAACGTATTGCAAAGTGTGGTCCAACAATTTTTATATTTTATCCACCCTTACGTTATTATTTCATCAGTTAAAACAGACTGTGAACAAAAAAAAAAGTTTTTTTCAGAACAACTGCTTTTTCTTGAGCTGAGTACTTTACTACGCATCCCAAGACATGAGTTTTAGTCGTTATACTAACTGCCATGTAAATCGACTATATTAAAGAAATCTATGCTATTAAATACTGATTTTTTTTAATTTAGTTTTTTTACTTCATTAAAACACAATGTATTTTGAGATTTGTAACTTTCCTTGTACACAATCGATTTAAGAATTGGTATATTAACCCGCCAAATCAAATCGCTACTTCGCTGTTACTGTAGTAAAACAAAAAAAATGGTTTTGGAGTTTTTAAAAAAAGTGCTTCCTTAGCAAAGATTTATTCCGTAAACAGGCATATTTCTGATGTTCGAGGTTTGCCGTTAAATGTCACATGTGCCGCTATCAAGTTACCAAGCTACTACTTGTGCTACAATTTTAAAAAGGTGCTCCCGCAAAATTGGTAGTTTTTTTTAATTGTTGCAGTATCAAAGCAAAGAAGCGAAACGCACGGACGTCAACTCTGGAGGGCATCGGGTCTTTCCAAGCCCGGGGGCTGCGGCGATTCGCCAGGCGCCCGCGGGGCGCGAG